TTTTAGGTGAGAGTTAGCATATATCAGCAGCATTATTGTTGTACTAGGTTCTTGGGTATATATTATAAAAGTCTAGTTATATATATCAATGGTAAAATAGCCATGGCATTCGAAAATTGTTCTATGAAAAAAACGAAAAAGGGGGTTCTCTTGTTGCTTTGGTCAATGTATAATAAGGGTACAATGCTAATGTTACAAACCAAGTATCTTTCTAATTTATGATACATGATATTTATTCTAAACGTGAATTGAATTTTAACTGATCCACATAAAAGTCTGATATATCATCCTTACCATTAAATTTCATTTTCCCGTTAATAGGGCGTGACCTTGTTTATTATTTCTCCTACTTTATGAAATATTTTGAAATGTTAAAGTGAAACCAAGTTTGATTATCGTAAATGAATTACATCCTATTTGTTGGTCATGTCACTCCCCATTATTTAAAAATTAGAATCATTTTTGGTCTTCCCTACTATGACCATAAATACAAAAATTGTCATATTAACGAATAACGCAGTTTATGTGTGGTTAGGTTAGGTACGATTCTCCAATCGGTAAAATCAACCCATTCAAGGAAACAGAGTACGGTGTTTTAACAAAATACCTCAAGTGTTCATTAAGTGATGCGTCACTTGCCGACAACGGACACGGACAGACAGACATAAATGTCTATAATCATCCTGATCATACTAAAACACATAACCTTATACCTATTTCGGCTATTTGTAGTTTACATACTCGTATAACCGTGGCAACTGTATGTTTGCGAAATTTCGCTCTGTTTTTGAAAAGTTGATCACAGAGATGTCATTCTTGTTGTACGATCTTATAATCACTTCTTCATATACTTCTCGCTTTCTGATACTTACAAATTTCTTTATATAAAATTTCTTAATTATTTCTTGCAATATATGAAACATACACATTACTCAATACTCGAAATATAGGTATTACAAGGTACTTGTATATAAAAGTGAGTATTTATTTATTATTATCTCTACATCGTTATTATTTTATGGTAATTATTTTTACTATACACATTACTAACTGTCCCATTTCCCATAACCCTTAGCTGAGGTAATCCAACAGCAAGAGGAATTACGTAATATATTTTTTCTATAGCTCATTCTACACATTAATATTCGTTTTCTAATGAGCAACAGAGAATTGCCAACAACATTTACTACCAATGCTGAGCTCCTCAACGAAGTAAAATATTTAACACGTGACTACCAATAATTGAGTTGTTTTCAACACTAGTAGCGTTTCATAAAGATTTGACGCAGCAATTCTGCACACTTAGCACCTGTTTCTAGTTTCCCATTTTAGGATTGCGCAAATTTCTACACACTGCATTAAGCCCTTGCATGAATACTTGAAGCATCGAAGTTTTCAATTTTTTTTAATACAAACAGCTTGCGTCAATACTTCTCTCTAACGGTAATAATCAAATATAAGTTTTTAAATCTTTCATTATGAAAGCGGCTAGGGCTACGCAACATAATATGGGCTCCTCTGCCGAAATCCTTACTTCACATGTCACTCCAAAGCAACTATCAGCCAAGTTCCATTAAAAATATGTCTTCGATGATTTTCATAAGATCAACAAAATGTTTGTTGTTGTAATTTATTGCCATTCGCCCCTAAAATTAAAAAGCGTTTATAAATAACAAGAAAATCTAAAGAGTAGTCGAAAGAAAGGCCCAACCGGAGACTAAGTAATGCTACTATGAGCTCATTGTAATTTCCAGCTGACACGATCGAGCGAGTGTTAGTGTTGTTTAGCGTCAACGACGGCTTGCGGTAATGCTGCACGATCGTTTTGCCGGTGCAAGCAGCAATACTGAGAGCACAATTGCGCCAACGGCCTATGCTACGAGTATACTGGCATATACTTGTATTCGTATGTCTGTATGTATGGATCTGGAAAACTGCTGTTGTTATTGCCTTTGGTTTAGTTGATTGGTGTCGAATGCTTTAACAATGCTCGGCCGCAATTAAATTTGTATAAAATTTATTGGAATTCCCATTATTCAAAACAGAAAAAAAGAGGAAGAGTAACTAAACAAAAACTATGCGAATTGGCAATTCTGACGCGCTGCTCGAGCTGTTTTGTCAATGCGGTTCGGTTGCGGATGCTGTAATGAAGCTGCTGCATTATGATGAAGAAGCGCAGTAATGCGAAAAGAGCGCGGCCTCGGACTCTTTGTGTAGAAAAGTAGATATGCACATGAGCTTGCAGGCCCCTGAGTATAGCTGTCGATTGAGATTGATTGTGAATTTATGAGCTCAATTGAGAGTGCACTTTGCGAAAAGTCAGTAAAAATATGTTTGTACAGTGTACAATGTGCGCGTAGGCGCAAATAAAACAGTAAGTTTGTGAATGTTTTCGGTTGTGATGATGGCAATTTGTCATCCGTTCAGTGAAAATCGGGAGAGAAATATTTCTCTTTCTTTAACAAACATATTATTCCAGCAAATATGAAAAAGTTAGAGTAGAACATGAAGCCAAATAACATTTTTTTGTAATCCTGCGCAATCTAATGCGATATAATTGAACCAAAAAAATGATATAGTCTCGTAAGATCGCGTTCACACGAGTACTCTTTTGTCGCTAAATAGCAAATTCTCCGTCCCTTTTCTTCGACGTCCCCTCGGCTACAAAAAATCGATTTGGGCGAGAAAGAGTCCACGTGTGAACACAGCTTAATAAAGCAATTGTTAAAGGACTGACTTTTCGGTGCCTTTACTTGTAATTAACCTTTTCATTTTCTTCCACCCTTAAAGCATACATTCTAACGAATTCGCAATACCTAGAAGTGACTTTTAAAATTTTAACATTTAGTGATAACACAGGGTCACGCAATTTCGTATTTACAAAAGCATCGGATCCGCAGATGCCGTGAATTCGTACGTCACTTTCTTACTTTCTATACTAGCATGGTAAGACGATTAAGTTTTAATCCTTCTCCTATTGTAATTCAGATCGTAGAGAAGATTAAGAAATCTGAGGATATGATCAGTTGGTTCCATTCGAAAAGTGGTCTGGTTAAAATCATAGTATTTTCGGTCGTTCCCTTTCCTTAAATTAATGGTAGTTCTGGTGGCACGAGGGCATCATAAATGTTTTTTACCACGACCATTAATATTCACTTGAGATTTTTAAAGGTAAACAATAAACATTTTATAACAAAATTTCGAAGGAAATCTTTCTCAAGAGAAATACCATCTGATTTAATTTGACCCGGACCGGATCTTGTTAAGGAAACTACATTTTCACGTCTTTTAATCAAAATATTTAGTGTCGTCAATTATTATGAAAGCTTAAATCAATTTTACATAGCCTTGTTTGAAGCCTCGGATTTCTTGGACACTAAAGCCCTTCAGCGAGTTTTGGTTTCTTCGGTTTCTACTCATTTTGGGAGCGCCATTCGCTAGATTAAACGCACGTCTCGTCACCAGTGATGATGCGCTTAATGAATGTAGGGTTCTCAGCATCGTTGTTAAGCATCTATTTTGCGACTTCTACTCGACGTCGTTTTTGTAAAAGATAAAGGTCGTTTGGTTAGCATTGATACGCTTCATACCCAAATCATTAATCAAAATGTGTTGAGTCGATCCATAAGAGATGTTGAGATCATCTGCTCGCTCTGATGCCAACGCGTTGATTTTCAAGTACTATTTCTTTAACTTTTTTGTGATATTATCGTCATTAATAGAGGTGGATGAACGACTCGTATGACGCAAGTTTTCGATGACCTCACGATCTTAACTGTACTGCTTTGTATCACTCAAATACTTGTGTTCAAGACAACTTAAATTCCCCAAAACACTTCGACATTTTCAACGATTCCGTAGCCGCAATTCCATTGGAAACACACATTTCAAGCAAACTTACGAAGATCAAACTTCACATGAAGATATAAATGGTTGTATCAATTTTCTTTTTCGATTTGATCAGATGGTACACCTGTGTAAACGTTTAACTGACGCTATTGCTTTTAATGATGAAGCAGTGTTCAATACTCAATTGTTTATCACAAAAATAGCTAAAAATGTTGGAAATAAGTAACGACTTATGAGATCTTTCAAAACCCAAAATGAACGAAAGTCCCCTATCTATAGGAATCAGATGATATACATACATAACGGTCAGATCTATAAAGATCGGGCTCTGGATGACAAGCAAGTATGTTGACCGTTTGATAACGTCTGGCCTTCAAAACTACCAGGAAATTATTAAGTTTTGTGGGAGTTGAGCTCATCTGTCCCAGCACAGTCAATTTTGAATAAACGAATGGGATGCAGTTGTTACGATGACGTCGGCGGCATTAGTTGAACTGCCAACAACAAACGCGTTTGCTCATGCTTTCAATTCTCATTATCTGGTTTTTAAGATAACTCACGAGCACAGTCGGTTTGTTATTGTTTGCAAAGGTTTGATTTAACTGACATACTAACACACTAATCCCAACGATTTCATTTTCCTTGTTTCTCTTTCTATTGCTCATCTCGCGGCGCACGATGCTCAGCGCAACCCTTCGTGGCTCAATTGCCGCTGTGCTTTGATGATGCTGTCGCTGTGTTTGCTACTACAACAACTTCACCTACTACGATGCGCTGGCAGTTGCTCGTGGCGTTTGTTGTTCTTATATTACTGTAATTGCAAATACAATAACAAACATTTTTCATTGCAAATACCGGTGTTGTAGACAAAATTTGCAGCGACGCTCCGGCGAACTAGACATTAGCGCTTACAATAACGGTTAGATGAGTTTGCAACACTGTCAACAGGAGTGTGTGTGTTGCGCAGCCGCAATGTGATTCTTTAGCGCATATGCATGTTGATGTGTGTGTGTAGGGGGGTTTGTGTTTTAGATTGTGTTTTGTGTATTTGCGAGTGCATTTGCAATTTTCAATTTGGCGCCAAACATTCAATACACGAAACTAGTATAAAAGGCGGAGAACTTTTGTCACTGACAGCATATCATTGCGAACAATAGATCGGAGTCAAAGTGTGCGGCTCCAAACGAATTTTTGCGCTAGATCATCCCAAAGAGGTTAGCGTTTAGGCAGCTGTGGACAGGATCACAACAGCAAGCATAAGGAATATTTCGAGTGTGTAGCGACTTCCATTGCGTGTGAAGCAAACTGTGAAAATCGGTAGAGAAATATAAAAGTGCTGTTGGAGTGCTTAATATAACGGTGTGTTGAATTTTTGACGAGTTATTCGAAAAAAAAGGATTTTTAAAAATTTTGCTTTCGTTCCATATATTGTGCGGTGTTTGAATATTTCTGGGAAGAGCAGTCTTCGAATATTTCTGGGAGGATATTAAACTGCGCTGAAAATGAGAGTGGTGAGTATGGAAATAATTTAAAATACATGTAAGCTTGTGTGTGACTACTGTTTACTTAGTACGGTGTTTGTTTTCTAATTGTGATAAAATTGCCGTAAAATAAGAAAAAAATCGAGGAGTTTGTGTTCATTAAAAAAAATTGTCTTTAGAATCAAAAGAACATAGGCTGGCTTATAAGAAAAATATGTAATTGTTAAACTGTAAGCCAAATACAAAAAAAAAATGAAAATAATAATAATTAAAAAAGCAAATATTTAACGTAGAATTTTCAATACTTCGGTTCTGTTTTTGTTTAAAAAAAATATTGAAAATTGAAAATGCTTATATTCAAATTTGTACTTAATATCACATTTTAAGTAAAAATATTTCACACAGAATTTATAGTTGTTGTATGTAAAGCTTAAGTAGATGGATTTATAGTATGTGTACTAATTAAAGACGGCGGCCACTAATTTAAATTTTATTTCGATACGGCTGATACAGTTATTTTCTGCCATATCCCATTGATTTTCTGTTAAAGACCTCATTGTTACCTATATTTACAATTTTGTTGAAGGAAAAGTACAATTTCTCCATGAGCAGGGTATATTAAGCCATGTCTGTCTGTCTGTACATACGCGAATTAGTCCCTCAGTTTTGGAGATATAGATCAAAAATTTTGCACACGTCTTCTCAAAAAGCTGCTCATTTGTCGGGACCGATATCGGACCACTATAGCATATATAAAATACATACATAAACTAGCAGAACGATCGAAATTAAGTCCTTGTATGGAAAACTTTTGTATTTGACAAATGTATCTTCACGAAATTTGAAATATATTGTTATTCCAGGCATTTCTATAATCTCCAAAGAAATTATTCAAATCAAATCGTTGTAGCGCATAGCTGCCATATAAACTGACCGTTCGAAATCAAGAAAAGTATATTTTGATACCCTTTTTTTTATACAAAGATACACCTGTGAAGGGTATTAAAGCTGCGGTGCAGCGGAAGTTAACATTTTTCCTTATTTTACAGGCATGTTAGTGTTCACAAATACCCACACATGATTTACAAACATTATTTAAAGTCAGTTTGAATGAATTAAAAATGTCTTCCAACTTAAATATTTTGCAAACAATTTTTTGACAAATTTGATTCTTGAATCGGTAAATAGCGGTATTTTATTTACAGAAAATCCGAATCGACATCGGATCAACAATATTATTGATATAAGCAACAAACATTGAATTAAATGTTTCTAAGGTATTTTCTTGAAATTATGCAAAAAAAAGTGCCTAAGGTATCTTTGGTTGTTTGAAAGCCAATAAAGCTACAAAATTTCAGTAAAAATGTTCACTACAAAGTTAAAGACTTTCGATACTTTTGGTAAGAGTTATCACGTAATTTTTATTTTAATTCCGTTTTCTTAAAACTATTTTGCCTTTTAGAAACAAAAGAGTTAGCAAAAATTTTTCCGATATTTATTTTTTTGTTTTTATTATTATACATATTTTTTCAAAACCTTTTTGTACGCGGATCCACCAATCAGTCCAGTATGTCATGCAATCAATTTGATATTTCCGATTCGCACACCTCACATGCATAAACAACAAATAGCCTACAACATTCCATTGTACAGACTTTGGCAAAATGTTGCTGCAACATGTGTCTAGCAGCACAAAGCATTTTCGGAAGACACCGCAAATGTATACAAATATATGTACATATTAATGGAAAATTCTCAAGCATTCGCATAAATTATACTGGCAGCCGATTTTCTCCCACTACGCAGACGTGACTATGACAGCAGCGCAGTGAAGATACCGTAATAGTAGCTAGTCAGCTTTGATTTGCATAAATTAAAATTCTCGTGCGATTGGCAATGCGATTGCCGGTGGCAGCTTGTCGGTTAGCTGATTTAGCGGTTTAAGCATTTTTTATCGATCAACGTTGCCACTGACAAACCGTCTTTCTTCGTTGTTTTTGTTGGATTTATGCTCTTCCGAAAGCAGCTGCCAAAATAGACACGCGAGTTGCATTTCCCAATCGGAATTTTACGGAATTTCCTACTGACGAAATTCACGCGCTGAATTAAAGGGAGTGGCGCTGGAGAATGAGAATGAAAATAAGAAGAAGAGGCAGCGACCGCAAAGAGTTGGCGTATTAATTGGCTGTTACAAGCGTTTAGTTACCATTTGATTCGGCTATGATATGTCAATCAAGTCGAGCAACGATTAAGTCCTTCAAATAATGCAACTTCTAAGTAGTAACGGTAGTAATCTAACTAATAACGGTAATAATCATATGACTTTGTTGTTTTACTTCACTTCGTTAGACTTTTGGGTTGGTCACCAGTGGCCATTAAAAGCGTTTTTGGCTTAAACTGTAACTCTATCACCCGAAAGTGCATGGAAAACAAAATGAAAAAAAAAACCAAAGCGAAATGCGCTACCCAGCAGCAACAAGGTGATACGCAAAGATGCAAGCAAGAGCAGTGCATATTTCGTTGGTGTGTCGAAGTACAACAAAAATTAGTCACGATTCGTGTGTTGCCACCGGTGCCCTGACGCTGCAACTTGCCGCGCTTTATTTGATTTTTATTTTTTATTTTTATTTTTATTTTTTAATTTTATTTTTTGTTCAATTTTCGTGTTTTTCGTGGATATTGTAGTTACGGATGCGCTTGGCGCAGCAATTGTTACAGCTGTTGGACGCTTTGGCAATATGCACCGCTTCTTTTGCGATTTTCGTTTTTAATTTTTTGTTGTTATTGGAAATTTGATGCGCTGCTGGGCACAGGCGTAGCCGAAATGTCCGTTGTTCTGCCGCAAATATTGCTGCATGCAAATACAATGTTCGAACAACTGTTTGTGGCATGTTCACCAGCTTGTATGCGATGGCATTTTACACACATACATCCATAAATTTGTGCAACAGCGCTAAGTTGTCATTCCACTTGTTTGCTGCCGCTTGCAAATGTCAACTATTTAAACCGCATTAGTTTTTATTGTTATTATTATACTTTAGATTGTTGTTTTTTTATCGCTTTTCGTTGCTCTCAACTCTTCGCTTGGGGGTTAGCCTATTTTCCACGAGTTCACTCGCTTTCGTGCGATATGTTGACAATGTTGCCACCAGTTATGTCAAACATACACACACGAACACAAATCATAACTGTGGTGTGGGATTCTCTTTATGACAGCCGAGTTGCAGAATTTTATGACGGAACTGACATTTGCCGCTGATGATGTAAATACTGACAGTGAATGCTTAAATAATTAAAAATAACATTTCAAGTTAGTTAATAGCAAGCTATTTTTAGTGAGTGTCGATTAATTCTACAGCTTATATTTAAATGCGGATAAGTATTACTTAAGCTGCCCAGCTATTGAGTCATCTTATAAGTGATAATTGCTAGCAGTTAATTGGATTTGTAATAAGCGGATTTAGTTTGCATGAAGTTTCAATCAAATTGCTCAATTTTCTTCAGCAATTTACGAAATAGTTCACGAAATAGAAGCATAATTAAAGAGGTAGTAGGTTTTTTGTGATTGACCTGTCAGGCATTGACAGTAAGCAAAAAGCGTTGAAACCGTTTATTTTCTGAAAGTGTGCACGCCAAGTGGGTGCTGGCAGGAAAAAAGTGCTTTAGCAGGTCGCCAAATAATTACTACTATAATAAAATATATACATTTCATAATTCGTTTTTGCCTTGTTCGATGCTTAACCACACATAGTGCTACTTGTGATATAGAAAAAATTCAAAAATAATTAAAGTTTTACAAATATGGTTTTTTAAATGGCCGTTAAATATTTAAGTATGGTTTTTAAGCCAATAAAAGACATTTTCTAGAGATTTTTTAAAATGATTAATTCAGTTTTGAGTAATAGAAGATACTTATATACATAAGTTCTTTCATAAATTAAAGATTATTAATGAAACAAATTTCAACACAAATTCTAAAGCTTTCATAGCTTTAAAAACCAGCATCCGTTTAGAGCCTTAAAGCATTTTGTTTCCTTAATATGTAGTTTTTTTAACTTTCCGCTAAGAAAATGGAAAATTTTCTAAAAATCGGGAAGATATTGGTTTCACCCCATTTTGCAAAAATCGAGTTCTCAACAGATCTCGACGTTTTGAGGGTCGAGGAAGCTTCCCCGAACATTTCTACGATGATGTCCGTATGTCTGTATGTATGTGTGGATGTATGTGTGTGTGTGTGGACGTATGTGACCCTCTTATAACTATTAAACTGCTCAACCGATTTGAATAAACTAAACCGCATTCCAAAGGGTTTCATTGCACTTAAATTTCGTGTAAGTTTGGACCCAATCGGACCAGTAGATTTCGAGAAATCTCAAAAATAAAAATTTTGAAAAATCGTTTTTTTCGAATTTTTTCCAAACGACTTGACCGATCGACACCAAAAACTAATCAGTTCTAAACCTTGAAGAAACACATCGTTTGCCGCAAACCGGGTCGAAATCGGTTGATTTACTTGCTAGATATCGAAAACGAAAAATTTCGAAGTGCTCAAAAGCAGTGAAAAAAGCGAAATTTGAAATAGAAGAGATCAGTAGATATATTGGAAAAATTCGAAAAAGATTAAATTTTTATTTTTGAGATTTCTCGAAATCTACTGGTCCGATTGGGTCCAAACTTACACGAAATTAAGTGCAATGAAACCCTTTGGAATGCGGTTTAGTTTATTCAAATCGGTTGAGCAGTTTAATAGTTATAAGAGGGTCACATACGTCCACACACACACATACATCCACACACATACAGACATACGGACATCATCGTAGAAATGTTCGGGAGCTTCCTCGACCTCCAAAACGTCGAGATCTGTTGAGAACTCGATTTTTGCAAAATGGGTGAAACCAATATCTTCCGATTTTTAGAAAATTTTCCATTTTCTTAGCGGAAAGTAAAAAAACTACATATTAAGGAACAAAATGCTTTAAGGCTCTAAACGGATGCTGGTTTTAAAGCTATGAAAGCTTTAGAATTTG